TCCCTCCCCCTTCCCAGCTCCTTCTTGTCACCCATGAAGCCTATTTCCCTCTTTCTAGGGCCACGTGCTTTCTGGTCTGACCTGTCCTGTCATCCTCTGTCCTTCTAGTCTGTCTTTTCCCTCATGCGAGACTTTCTGTATTATGACTTCCTATATTATGTCTTCAGGAAAGGAAGAACTCCCTCTTTCAGGTTTTTTCCCCTTGCTCTTACCCTTGTGCCTCTTCTGTGTCTATGCTTTCCAGTCTGTTTTTGTGCCCTATTAACAACCTCAGCTGTAGTCCAAAAACTACCTAAAACTCCTTCTCTTCTTTGCAGAACTTCTTACCAACCTCCGTTCTGGCAATTGTTGCTGCATTTCTTCTTATACTTGATTCCTGTTGTCCCTGCCTTTCCCAAGTTAAAAAAAAAAAAAAAAAAATTGAGGGGCAGCCAGTAGACGAGGAGGGGTTTTGGACTGGGAGAGAGCAGTGTGGAGGAAAGACTTAGCTGTCATGTGACTTTTTCCTCTGCCTGCCTTTCCTTGAATGTCATTTGGCTGTTGTTTCCTGGTAGATGAAGAGACTTCCTGTTGTGGTTCTGCAGGGGGAGGGTGCTAGTTGGAATGGCTGACGCTGGATTTGTTTGGATTAGTGGAGGCTGGTTGGTTTCGAGCTCAGCTCAGGAGTTGGCATATTCCCTCTATGTGTGATTGTTTTCTTTCTGTCAGTGGGTTGACCCTTCTTGTGAGAGCGGAGGGAGAGGCTGCGTTCTGCCGCTTACGTTGTAAGAGAGGAAGTTACGATGACTTTTGCTTTACAGTAGCAGAAATAAGGAATAACATGGTACTTTCTCTGTATCACCTCCCAAGCAGTCATATGAATTCTGTTGTTGGATCTTTGACTCCTTCTAGGTGGTGAACAAATTTGAGGAGACAGAAAATCCTAAGCCTAGCGCATGTGAAAATACTAGTAATGCGTGTCTTATGCTTGGTTTTAAATTGTGTTGAAGATGATATAGTTACTTTGTTTCATGTATATTGTCCTTTGTAAACTGACGAGAAGTAATGAGCAATAGTAATAATTTAAGGAGATCTGAAGAAGAATTCAGTTATTCTTGTGCCATAGTTTAACCCTAGCTGGTAACTAAGCACCACACAGCTGCTCGATCACCCCTCCCCCCGTGGATTGGGGAGGAGGATGGAAAAAAACCTCATGGGTTGAGATAAAGACAGTTTAATAGGATAACAAAGGAAGATAATAAAGTGAGGGATGCACAAATGCAATTGCTCACCACCCATGGGGAAAAAAACCCAACCAAACCCTGATGCCCAGTCTGTTTCGAAGCAGCGATTCCGCCTCCTGGCTAGCTTCCCCGGTTATAACTGGAGCATGACGTTATGTGGTAGGGAATATCCCTTTGGCCAGTCTGGGTCAGCTGTCCCAGCTTCTTGTACACCTGGCAGGGCATGAGAAGCTGAAAAGTCCTTGACTTAGTGTAGTGACTACACTTTACCTAGCAACAGCTAAAGCCATCAGTGTGTTATCAACATTATTCTCATACTAAATTCAAAACACAGCGCTATACCGGCCACTAGAAAGAAAATAACTTTATCCCAGCTGAAACCAGGATATGTTGTTAATGTTGTATCTAATGCAGAAGGGAGCTGACAGGATCTGTGAAATTAGTCTGGTTTTGAATTGGTTTTGTGTTGGGTTAAAAGCTAAGTAGTGTTAACCAGTAAGTTAACTCTGCTTTTGTGGAATCTTTGGGTCATGAACACTAAGATATGAATACTTTTAGAAGTCATACCTGAACCAGCTATTACTTTTGTAGTATCTTGGGCATCTTCCCTTGCATCTAGAGCCTTGCTAATATTTTCAGCAAAAGAATTTGATGATAGCAGCAGTTGAAGCTGAAATAGTGGAAACAACAAAAGTCTGATTTAGGAGGTATTCCTAATATAGAGATACACTTCAGTACATTTGGTACAAGAATATTGAACTTTGTTTTTTTTTTTTTAGAGTCAGGTCCAAATCTGAATTTGAATGTTTTGATTTACTGTATCATTGATGTTTTACATTTTGGATTTGATGTGTCATGTGAAGGTGGTAGAAGAAGCATGTCCACTCTTTTTGTATACAAAAAGTCTGTAGTAAAAGTAGTAGTCCTCATGGTTAAAGCTGATAGTCCTTATTTGAAGTTCAGACAGCAGTATTACCTGTGAGAGACTATTAAACTGCATTTTTTGTTATTATAATTATTTTTAGTTCAGAGGAAACCTCTTTTGCAGTGTTAAGTCATTGGCAAGTTGTGGAGGACAAAATCTCTTCATGTGTTTAAAGGAAGTCCTGGAACTCAATAAACAGTATCACAGTGTATTGGAGCACAAACCTGTGGTGAACTTTTTTAGGTTCTAGATGTAGTCTGTTACATTTGCAGATATAAAAGTACTTCACTTCAACTTTGGTCTTTGCCCAACTTGTGTTGCCTTTGGATCTAATTGCCAGCCCTGTCTCTGAGTTGCATTCTGTAATTAGTTTCTTACTCTGCACTGTCTCTTGCTAATTTAAATGTGTGGTTGCACATTTCAAGTCTCCTTCATAATTTCTAAAGACGAATTCAAAGTCCCCCTCATCTGTGGTTAATATAGATGCAATGAAAACAAGATGTTTTTTCCCATGTTAAAAAACTTTATTGTACAGTAGAAGGGGCTTATCAAGATAATTTGGTCTGTCAGTACTTGGGTAATGTATTTGAAAATTTGACAACTGGTCTTAATGTGACTATATGTATGTATATAATGGGAAATGATTTCATTGACTTTCCTTCATAGAAGGAAAGGTGTATTAGCCATGTGTTTTTTATACTACTGTTGTGTTCCCGTTTGTGGTTTGTTTTTTTTTTTTTTTTCTTCTTCTTCTTCAGGCTAGCTTCTAGACTATTTTTGTATATATACTAGAAGATACTAATAGAATCTCAGCTTTCCTCTTAACTATTAATTTATCATATATATATTTCTAGTTACACACTTAAACCAGATTTTCTTATTTAAGTAACATATGATTATTGGGAATTGAGAGATTAAAAATACGATGTCAGATTCAGGATTATCTTTTTGAGGAAAATGTTTGGCTTTTTGATTGTTTGTTATTAGTTATTAAAGCCACACAAACATTAGACTATACTCACAGCACTTGTGTTTTTGTATTTTCATTCCCTCAGCAGTTCTTAAAGTTTCTTGATCTGTGCATTTCAAACATGAATGATATTGCCAAATTACTAAACCCTTCTTCTGTGGATTTTTTTTTTTAATATAGTATAAAAATATGTATGACAGTCTTGCAGAGAATTCTGCGCCTCAAAATCTCTTTCCTAAGGATTTATGTAGTAGCCTGGCTATAGTTGCAACTGATCCTAGCCCTGATGCTCGGTTTAGTTTGTATTTACAGCTCCATATGAATCTTTGGGGCGGGAGAAAAAGCAAACTTTTGTATCTTTGTTCAGTTTATTATGGATTTCCTACTTAAGACCAATTATTTTACTCATAAAGAACAAGAGAACTTGACTGTAACTAAGTGTATGAATGTCTTATGATAAACTTGGATTTCTTAGTTGCTTTTAGTTTTCTCTTAAAAGAGACTTTACTATAAATTCTGGGGGTTTGTTATTGTGAAGTGTTTTTTTTCTGGTAAATAAATACTTAAACAGGTCATATATGAAACATTGCTACTGTAGAATGGTTATATTGCTTTTCAAGCTAATCAGTATTTTTTAAAAATTTTTATACAAATTTATTTAATGACTTTTGCATAATTTTTTTAAGTGGAAGGTTATTGCACTTCATTTCTAGTACCATTGTGGTAGGATTTCATGTGCAATGTGTAGATGTCAATTTGACTTACTAAAATGATGCAAGATCAACTGATACCAAGCTTTTTTTATAACATTCGTATTAGTAGTACTGTAGTGCTGCTTATGTTTGCTGAAATATTTTGTCTTGTTCAAAACAGCTTGCTATGGAATTGTTCAAGTACCCACTGGACCTTGGTTTTGCAGGAAGTGTGAATCTCAGGAAAGAGCAGCCAGAGTGGTATGTGCTTTGTTTATTAAGTAATGCTAGTTATAATGCTTGTGTGGATAATATTTACCCCGGTATCCCAGTAGTAATAGAAGATAGCTTAGCTTTTTGTCATAATTCATCTAGATGCTATTCAGAAAGACTTTTTTTTTTTTAAGTGGAAATATGTAACTGTCTCTAAGTATTTTGACAATTTCTGTGGGGAGTGTGTGGGGGGTTTTTAAGTGGTTTTTCTTTTTTTTCCCCTGACCATTTCAAAGATTATTTTCTTCTTATCTGTGGTGTGAGTTTTGTGTAATTTTGTCAGTTTAATACTCACATAGTTAGGTATGGGGAGGAAATAGAATCAGTGTCCAATTTTCTTTTACAGCAACTTAGATTGCCAGTTGAAAGCTTCAGTCTAGGAACAATTAACCAATAAGTAGTGTTCTTAATTTTGGAATCTAATGCTTACTTGGAATGTGATACTTCTAATTGAAGAAACATTTTCTTTCTCTTTTTAATTTTTTATGGTAAATATTGAGGATTCGGATAATCCTTCTGAACAACAACAAAAAAACCCAACACTTTTTTTCTTGATTATATGAGGGTTTTTTTTTTTGTTAGAGTTTTATGTTATTAGATCAAGCTGTGTGATATCAGGCATTTCTAGAAAAAGACAATCACACTTCTCACTACTTGACACTTTTTAGTTTGTCTTCCAGCAAAAGATAAAGTGAGAATATTTAGAAAGACTAAGCTGGTCCTTTGCCTCTGAAAACATTTTTCATATACAAGTTGGGAGAGAGGGTGGTGCAGCTTCTTAGGGAAGTGTGTAAACTATTTCTTTCATATCTAAAGACAAATTAAGAGCCTGAGACCAAATTTTCAGTGACTGGCAGAGTGTTTACATGAGCTGTTTGCTGTACCTGTTTCCTTTTCTAATATAAAGTACTATAGAAATGGTAGGATGACTTAATGTTGTGTGAATTTTTGGCACAGGACTGAAGAATCTTGTTCCCCTTCTTTTTCTCAACTTGCTGCCTATGTTTCCATAATGCCCTAGTAACCCAGATGTTGTTACTCCTTCCAAAGAAGACCTGTTGGTGGGTGCATGAATGTATTGATTTCTATGTGCTCTCCAAATATTTGTCAACAGAAAATCAAAACTGCCTCCCTTTCTAAAGAAAGGCTGTTTCTTTCTTTTCTTGGGAAGACCATCAGCAATGTAAAGTTTTAAAAGCAGCATTTTTTAATGTTGCTGAGTTTGATATATGCAGATTGACAGCAAAAATATGGAGGGGGGAAAGACATGGTGGCTAGAAGGAGGATTATTCTGGTGCTTTATAGGGAATTCTCGTCAGGATTTAGGATATATAATCCCAACACAAGGAATGAAGGAGAACTGTACTGAGTTCTAAAATAAACAGTGTCTCACTGTGTTCCAATAATTTCTTGAGTTTACCAAAGAGAATAGCTTTGATGGACATTATACAGCTTTTCTTTGCTGTTTGAAGTTAAGAAGGAATAGTGATGAACTTAACTAAGTTCTGTGCCCGGTGTATTCTATTCTTGTTTCCATCTAATGGGATCTGTTTATGGTACAGTTCAGCAAGTTGATTAATGATCTCATAAACGGGAAAGATTTTTTTTTTAAATAATACAGCATAGGTTTAAATGGTTCTGAAGTGAAACTAACTGCCCATGAGGTAGAACAGATTGATAACAGTTGAAGTTTTAACAACTACTTGTATGTTAGTGAGTTAGAAACATGGTGGCTGTCTCAGGTTTCTTGGAGAAGCCCTTAACATTCAAAAACTAAACTGAAGTTCTGACTTCAGTGTGAAAACTGGAACTTTATTGTAGCCCGTTTATCAGACTCAAGTTGTAATACACTTACTTGGAAAAGCAAACCTCCTTATCATCACTGTAGGAGACTGAAGCTTAGTTTTTCTATTGACCTTTTTGTCTAGAAACAAAACTGAAATTACATTAACCATATTACATTGAACATGCTTCTACTTACTTATTTTTAATCTTTAAAAAAACCCTGAGTCTTGCCCTCAAAGCATGTTTTTCCCTGCTGATGCTGTGTTGTGTTTTTTTGGGGTGTTGAAGGGGTTTTTTTTGTTTGTTTTTTAAGCTGCAGTTACTGAGCAAATAAATCTATTCTGATAAGAGACCAGAGTTAATTGCTTGCATTAAAGTTAGTCTTGCTTTAACAACTGAAAGACACAGACTAAACTCAAGTAGGTGGGTCACCAGAGAACTTTGCTTAACAGCAGGTTAGAGCAATTGGTTTCCCATATACTTCCAGCTGTTACACACTGATGTCTGCTGTGTTCCCTTACTTTTGCGTGCTGCTGCTAAACTAGTACGTACCGCTTGTCAGTGAAAGTGGCTGATTATTTTTTTTTTTTCCTTCAGCCACACAAGCCTTCTGGCTGGTTGACTTCTGTGTTTTTGATAGTGAGGTGGTAGCCAGTGTCCTGGGTTTTGAATGGTCAACTACTAGTTGGAAAGCACAGTTCCATACCTGACAAGTCATACTGAGCCTTGGCTCTAGTGTGGTCATATTTTTGCGTGTGAGAGAGACTGTGATTTTTGTAAATCTGAAGTATTTGGATAATGGATATATTGAGGTGTTTGGTAATTATTTGACTTACCTTATAATCATGCATATGTAGTACATAATAAATAGAAGGTTGTAATCCCCCTATGCACTTTTTACAGTTACTGTGTAAGTTTTTGACTATTGCTTGAAAAGTCTTAGTTTTCCCTAAAACAGCTAATTTATCTTAGCTGACCTATGGTGAGCTTGGAATGTGAATCTTTTCAAGATGGGTGGCAAATGCTCCCGGCTTTGTCTGTGTCAGCAGCAGCTGTTATTACTCTGCATAGCGGGCCCTTTTGATGTCTTCACATATGCCTTCTGAATCAAAAAGCAGGGCAGATACATGTTGATGTAGGAAAAAGTAATATTGGGTTCCATATATATATATATGGAGTAGTATGTAAGGGACTTTGGATCCTGGCTTGGGAAATTGGATAGTGCATATATGTTGTCCAGGGGTTGGTAGTACTGGTATCCAAAGAGAGACTAGAGAAGCTAAGTTTAGGAATTGTAGCACAACTGTTGTTCAAAAAGACTTTTTTTCCCCCATCATCCTATGTGCCAAACATCTTTCTTGATGATCTTATTTTAAGAATGATTTAATTATAGTATTGTATTGAGTCTGGCTGAGATGGAATTAAATTTCCCCATAGCAGCCCTCACAGCACTGTGCTGTGCATTGGTGGCGAGCAAGGTGTTGGTAACACACCAGGGTTTTGGCTACTCCTGAACAGTGCTGGCACAGCACCATGTCCGCCTCTCCAACATCCCCTCTCACCAGTAGGTTGGGGATGGGCAAGGTCTTGGGAGGGGACACAGCCAGGACAGCTGACCCCAACTGACCAAAGGGATATTCCATACCATGTGATGTCTGTTCAGTAATAAAAGCTGAGAGAAAGGAGGAGGAAGGAGGGGCGTTCGTTATTTGTGATGTTTGTCTTCCGGAACAACTGCTATGTGTACTGAAGCCTTTTTTTTTTTTTTTTAATGGGGTGGCTTATGAAGTTGAAGGCAGTACTAGCCCAGAACTGAGTTGGCACATTTGCGGGACCCTACAGCTGCTCTAATAAGCCACCTGGATTTTAGTCCTGGGGAGTGTGTTGAGGGGGCTGTGACTCCCTTTGGAGCTAGCCACGTAAGATTTGCGATGATATTCATTGGGTCTCAGCTGAATCTAGCATGACTGGAGTCTCTGCACTTGTGCATGTGTTTCTTGGAACTTGGTGTGGAGACACACAGGCTGTCATTGCAGAGTCAGTTTAGATCATACAGTACTTAAAGATTCAGAGCTGTAGTAATGCAGCTATACTGTTTACCTCCAAAGCTGGTTCAGGTACAGTGTGCTCTCATAGTGATGGTTTCCTGCTAGTAATCCTGCCAGACCTGAGCTGTTCCTGCATCTGCTGCACAGATGAGCCACAGTCTGAATGCTTGAGAATTCTTTTTTTTTTTTTTTTAATCTTTAATATAACAACGGTTGTAGTTCTCTCTCCAAGTTCCCTTTTTAAAAAAATCTTTCATCATGTGCATCTACAAGTTTGTCACTGTAGAGCTGCTTGTAAGAGTTGTATGATGTATCCATAGTTTAATGCCCCACCCCTAGTGTTTATGTAGTGTAAAATAACCATAGGTGTAGTATTACTTGGCTTTTACCTGAACAGGAGGAGGCAAGGAAGGAGGAAATAGGAGTGTAGGCTTTCAATATGCAGATAGGTTTGTGATCAGAGCTCTGACAGCTCTGGCTCAACAGGCTGCCTCCAGGGGAACGGTATCTCTGTGCCTGGGCTTAGAATCTGTTTTGGTGTGGTTATTACACCTGTATCTGTAAACTAGAATGCGCATCAATAAATACAGTCACAATAGAGGTGAAGGAAACTTAATTTTAGGAGAAGAAAACTTGCTGTTTTCTTTTTTCTTCAATTTGAAATACCATCAAATCAGGATTTATATAGTATGCATTCTCTTTGAAAGTATCTCTTGAAATAATTCTTAAAGAAATTTTGAAATAAATGTTCTTTTTTAACGTGTTTCCATAATTTTCCTTAAAGGACATTTTATATAAGACTATTACTACAGCTACTTTTAAGAATACTATAACAAGTAGTAGAAAAATTGCTTTAGTTTTGAGCATAAACAGAAAAAATAACTTCAGTGCTTTTGATATTTGTGTGGCTTCTACACAACAGTAGAATAGTAACTTCTAAATAAGAGAAGGAAAAGTGACTGTAAAATACAAATTGCTTGTAGATTTTTTTCTATATAAATATGAGAAACTGCTACTTATTAATGATATCTTCCTGCCCTCCCCCCTCCCTCCAAGGAAAAAACCCACCAAACAACCCCGTCTTGTCTTTTATGAATGGCTAAGCAGTCTAGAAGGCAGTGAATGTTTACTTATAGCTGGATAACTGGAATAAAA